CGGATGAAGTTTGTCATCTGTTCCCATTTGTGACAAAACTGCAGCCAAGGCAAAATCCGATGCGTCTGTTTTCATAAAAAATGCCTTGGAAAAGTCAACACGATATAAGACTGGTGCAGATACAAACGATGTCTTCAAGGCTTCAAATGCTGCTTCTGTTTCTTGATTCCATTGGAATTTGTCTTTACTAGTCAAGCTTGTAAGTGGAGCTGCAACTCGTGAAAAGTCTTTGATGAAGATCCGATAGTAATTGGCAAATCCCAAGAAACATTGGACATCTCTTACTGTCCTTGGAATCTTCCAATCCATGATTGTCTGGACTTTCTTAGAATCCATCATGAGACCATCATTTGAAATGATGTATCCTAAAAAGTCAACTTGAGTAGTGTGAAATACACACTTTTCCATCTTGGAGTACAATCCTGCATCTCTAAGTTTTTGTAATACTTGACGAACATGTATTTCATACTCTTCGACATTGTTAGAATAGATCAGGATATCGTCTAGGTAGCAGATGACAAAATTGTCTAAGAATTCACAAAATACATCATTCATGAGATGTTGAAAAGCAGCTGGTGCATTCATGAGTCCAAAAGGCATGACATTATATTCAAAATGTCCGTACTTAGTTCGAAATGCAGTCTTCCATTCATCTCCTTCCTTGATTTATACTAGATCATATGCTCCTCTTAGATCTATTTTTGTATAAATCTTAGCTTGATTCAATTGGTCAAGGAGTCCTGATATCAAAGGTAATGGATACTTGTTCTTGATTGTGATCTTGTTGAGTCCTCGATAGTCAACACACATTCGCAAAGTTCCATCTTTTTTCTTTATGAATAGAATTGGAGCTCCTGCTGGAAATTTTGAATGGCGTATGAAATTCTTCGCTAAATTCTCGTCAATATATGTCTTGAGTTCAGCCAACTCATCTTGCGATAAACTGTAAATTGGTCCAAATGATGGCTGAGTTCCTTCCTTGAGGTCGATTGAACAATCATATGGACGATGCTTAGGAAGAATATCTGCATTCTTTTTCTCAAAAACGTCTTGATAATCCTGATATTGACTTGGAATGCCACTTGAAGTCTTTACGTTTTCAGAAATAGGTGCAGCATAAATAGCAAAAGTTGATCCTTCTTTTGCTGCGTGTATAAATGCTTTTGCACCTATCAGTACGGGTTTTACTGTACTAGATTTATAATTTTTACTTGGTTCGTAGAACTATTAATAACGCTTTTGGAAAAGTCAAGTTTACGCGAATTCCAATCTATTCGAGGTTATATTTTTCTAGCCAGGATACACACCTAAAATAACTGGATTGGACGGGGATTTAATTATGTTAAAAGCGTAGGTAGCTATCATGACCGTCTATTGTTACTTTATATATGTAATTATTAGCTTACATGATTATGGCCGTGACAGCCACACATGTTGTTAGCTTGATGATAAAGTTAATTATGTGGCCCACACATAGAAAAACTTGCCTTGTAAGTCAAGGCATGTGTTCTACAAAGTCAACACTTATTGGAGGTCCTATAGAACGTCGCCACGTAGCTCCTAGTTAGATAGTATATATAGAGACAAGAGTGAAGCCTTCTTCACTCTTGTCAACTCCTTTCTTGCTTCCAGTCTAGTTTCAAGGATCTCTAGTTTTCTTGTCTTTTGGCAATAGCCATTCCAGTTTCTCTTTCAATATACATACTTGTTTATTTATATTTTGTTATCTTTCTTTGAGTGAAGACTCACTTGTCTGAATTGCTTTTTTCATCGAGTTCTTGTCCTTGACAAAGACTTGTGAGAAGTCTTATATGTGAAGTTGAGAGTGATACAAGAGTGAAATCACTTGTTTACTTACAAAGAGGGCATTTTGGGTTTCTAAGGCAGCAACTCCTTCTTGTTGATTTTGAGAGTTCTATATCTTCTTTTTTTGATTTTCTTTCACACATCCCTTTCTTAGACATGGCTTCAAGTGAGGGTGAGAGCTTGAGATTGATTGAGAAGTTTAGGGGTGACAAATTTTACCATTGGAAGAAGAAAATGGAGCTTTTGTTGGTTTAATTGGACCTTTGGGTCATTGTTAATGAAAGTGAAGACCCTCCAACTGACAATGTTGATATCAAAGTGAAGGAGTACAAACGTCGTGAAAGGAAGGCTTTTGGGATGATGCCAATTTTTCACATGTTATAGCTTGCAATAGACTAGCGGAAGCATGGAAAACTCTTTGTAATATCTATAAGAGTAGAAACCTTACCATTATCCTTTGGATAAGGAAGAAATTCTTGACAGTAAAGATGGAAGAAGGAGATGACCTCATAGCTCATGTTAATTAAAAAATAATATATTATTAAATATAGTTATTAAGGCTTCCAATATCTTTCTAATCAATGGTTTATATATATATATATATATATATATATATATATATATATAGTTTGTAATACATCTCGTTTAAATCTATAGGATTATTTATCTTGATTCTTTATTGGTTTAGAAGTTCTATAGTTTATAGTCAATAGTATCATTCTTTACTAAAGTTATTGGATTCTCTTTTAATTTTAATTCTAAAGATTCTTTGTCTAATGTATAACTAAGTCGTATAATATTTGAGCTTCTAATTCTAAAATTATTTGATTCTTATTTAAATATAAAAATTTGCTTAAATATCAAATTTTTTTATGAGCTTCTTCGGTTAGTTGTTAAAATTCTATTTCATATCTTATCAACTTAATTTTTATTATATTTCTTTTACTTCTTTATGAACTTATAAATTATTTAGAATATATATATATATATATATATATATATATTGCAACACCAATCCACAAAGTTTTGTAACTTCATACCAAAATTAATTAGAAAATGATTTGATAAAGCTGATATCACATTAAATTATATTATATTATTTTTATTTATTTATTTATTTTTAATAGAGTAGTTTTTTTAATGTAGAATCTATGTAGTCTTGCCAAAATTTTCAGTCCATCTTTCCTATTATTCTAAGAATATTTAAGCTAGTTTTTATAATTACAAATTATTTTTAGAAGAAATTAAAATTTAAAGATATTTCATATTTTTTGTTTATTTTAAGTTAGGAATTTTTTAAAAAAAGAAGAATAATAAAAATTTTAATTTTAATTTCTCTCCTCTTTCTTCTTCTTGTTTCTTTCTTTTCATTTTATTTTTTTATTTTTTTATTTTTATCTACTCTTTGTTATATACCACTTAGAAGTATATCAAATGAATCAAACCAAACATATTAGATAAAGCACTTCCAAGATCATCAAATAAAATATCTTTTCTTTTATAGGATTTTTGGTAGTATTTTTAAAAAATCCAACCAAAAATTCTTTTATTTATGGAATTTTTTGGAAGCATAATTTTTGGTTGGACTAATAGAATTACTTAAATTCCCTTAAAACCACATATAAATTTCTATTATTTACAAGAAAAATCTATTTAAATATTAAGTGCTTAACATACTAAAAAAATTAGAATATAAAGTTTTCTAGATTCTATTCTATGTAAATTATTTATATAGCCATGGGTTTCTATGAGTTGATAAAAATTAAAATTAGATTATAATATATTATTAAATTCTTAAAATCTTTAATTTTATAAATTTTATTATTAAATCAATAAAATATCATATTTTAGAATAATACATTATATTTAAATAATATTTTAAAAGTTGTAAGTTAAGAATATTACATTGATTATTCAATCCATGTATATAAGAAGAAAATAAAATGAATTATATAAACAATAAGTTTAGGAAGAAGCAAACCTTGTGTCATATAAAAGATACATCTATGATAATTTTGTATCCTTACATTGGTGCCTAATGTTGCACTTTTTTAAAAACTATTTAAGTTTTGTTAATTCAAAGGTGACAACATCTTTTTATTGTAAAGGTCTTATGGTCTAATAATCTATTGATACTTTTTGTCATTTGAAGCCAACAATAAGTTTAAACCATAAGTTGCCTACTTTATCTAAAGACATAGAATCATATAGATTTGTTATGAATTTGATGAATGTCTATAGCATAAGATGAAGTTGGATGAGGTTTAAAATACACAATATATCTAATAAGTTGAATTCTAAAACTAAGTCTTTTAATTTCTTTTTGACTATTTCTCTTTTGTTTTATACTATAGTAAAACTCTCATAATTGATCTTAGTATCTTTTTCATCTACAAATTAAGATTCAATGTTTTTGAATGTCCATAAATTGCTAAGACACAACACAAAGTGTCTAATCGTTGGTTATATTTTGCAAGTTTGTCTTAAATTATTTCTTTGTTGTACATATTTTTAATTTTTTTAAAAAAATTGCAACAAGAAAACAAATCTTAATTTTCTATTAATTTCAAAAAAGAAAAAAATATCTATTTGGTTGGTTATCATAGTCAATATAGATTTTTATTTTATTTTTTTGTTAAATAGACTTCTAACTCTTTGCCTTTGTCTAAGTTTAATAATATACGAAATCTTAGTTCATGAGTTTTATCTTTTCCTTTTTTACACCCATAAAACAAACAAGTAAATAATATTAATTCTTTTTTTTGAGTAATTCACAATCTTGTACTAGAAAAATAAATTAATGAATAAATAATAGTGTTGAAGAACAACGAGGCTGTAACAACTATTATTCTAAAACTTTAAGCCCCCCCCCCCCTAGTTCCCCCTCTCGTCCCCTATAGCAGAACCACTGAAGAAAGTTCTAAAGTTGAACAAGAAGAAATACCGAAGAGGCACAAGACGAAGGACGTCGGTGCAAATGAACCCCGATTGAGACGGAGCGGCGGCATGTCCAACCGTGAGTCTACCGTGGTCAACCAGCGGCAGCAGCCAGCGTCACATCCCGTCACATGGCATCAGATTTCCAGTCAAAGCTGGAAAAGCGTCACTTCAACGGAAACAAAGACCCGATCGATGCTACCCAACAACGTCAAGGATTGCACGTGGAAATCCGTGACCGCTGTGTTTTACAACAGGGATTCCATCGGCCTACCAGAGTGCGCAACAAGCGCATGACTGCTGCTGTCGTGGAGTGATGATCTAGATATCTGTGCCCTGCATTCACCCCCAGCGAGATAGGACTCGTCGAGTTTCGGAAGGATTTAAGTTCATGGCGTCGGCGTTAAGCTTGATCAGCGTCACGGCGTCGCGGAATACATGTGTCGATCTCGACAGAACAGGGGTCTGCGGAGGCGTCGTGGTGACGATGCGGCGATTGCTGGATCCGCAGTGTATCTGTCCCACGGGATGTGTTACTGGGGTCAGATAACGGCCAGACACATGGATTTCCACTCCGCAATCTGGCGCTCGTAGAGAACTTTTTGCTAGCTTTGGCATTTAGATTTAAGAGCATAGACTGAGTGGATTCATGAAGCGATGATTGTGAAGAGGTGGGACACTACCCTTAATTTAGTGTTGTTTCTCTCGTCGTGAAGAAAGTTGGGATGGCAGAGCCGCTCATGGTACAATGGTGCTTGAGATGCTTAGGAATTGGTGTTTGTCATGAGATGAATTGCTTCGTGAACTAAATCAGAGTTGAACGTATTCAGAGTCATGGATAATACCATTTGAAGAGGAGCTTGAACTGCCAACCAATCGATACAGATTTTGTCTAGCTCTGTCGGACGACCCTTTATGGATCCTTTGTAGGACCTCTTGCATTGCTGGTCTTTGGAATGGATGTGCACATTTCTGAGGAATGGTGTCTCCTGTTTTATTTTATTAGTTTTATTTTTATAATTTTTAGTTACAACCCTGTGTCCTCCAGCGATCCATCTCATGCGGCATGGGTGATCTGTTCCTTGACAAAACCAAAGATATATGCTAAAAATATTAGAAAGAACGAGTTGCAGAAGGCCAATTTCATCTCTGACCGTGACTGGGAATTTTGTCAATAGAAAGAGCGAGTAGGGGTTGCTATGACACGTCTATTTGGCTAGCTATGGCAGTGTGTCTTCATCGGAGGCATTTTGTGAACAATGTTGTCACACTTTGTTTCGTTACAATTATGTCGCATAATGGCAAGTCTACGTTTAGGTTTTAAGCTGCATCTGCTCACGGTAGCTTATGTACAGACGTTCTTTCTACGATTCAAATCAGAAATTACTTCATCTAAGAGGAATGATGTCAATGCTCAATTCTGAGAGTCCGTAAGGGCTTTACTTACGTGAAAATGAGAGAGATCTTGAGGAACTCCAATAAGCAGATTCCAAAGAATCACATGAGTGTGCCCATTTTCTCTGGTTCGCAGGAGTCGATGTATGTTGAATGATTTGCGACAATGGAGCTAGAAAAGCTAGAATCTAGCGAGATAACACTGGTGGAAACAGAAGCTAGGACGATATCCAAGTTCTTCAGCTTGGCACAACTAATGGGCAGAGAAGAGTCCTCAACAAGCCTCCGATTCTGGCTAAGGGAGACCGAGCTGAGTGACGGGTGGGGATCAGGTAGCTCCTCAACAACGAGGCAAGCAACGATCCCCTTGTCGCCTTACGCAGGATTTGAAAGCCCACATAAGTCAAAATTAATGCAGCAAAGGCCATGCAAGCCACATCGTGCAGGTCGCGGTATCTTCTGGTGCTTTCGGCACAGAAGTCTTAACCTGGTATGCCATTCTCCACATGCTGCGAAATCCTTCCGTAAAATACTAGCACTCGAAATATTTGTTCAAAGCATTGCTTAATTCAGTGCTCAGAGGTAGGGCAAATCTGAGTGATGATGAGAGTCATAGTTTTTCAGTCATTTCGTTCAAAGCGGTGCACTGTCCTAACCCTCTTTTTTATTTCTGAGTGCTGCAATAATAGATATGATGTGGCGAGAGTGTAATGTAGCTGAATTGATTGTCGATCATCTTGTATGCAATTGGAGCAGACACTGCCGGAATTAGTACCTAGTACAGTACTGCCAAGAATTGGGCATGCGGCAACGCTATGCACAAGCGGTGCTGCACATTGTACAGTTACTTTCATGGACGAGGCTAGTGATCATCAGCACCAATCTAACAATAGTCATCTACTCAAGGAGCCCACCTCTCCGGTTGTGAATTGCATAGGTCAAGTGCGACTTAAGAAGAAGCAGAGGCAGCAAGCTACTCCTTGGAGCCCTTCTTCCACTCAGTGACTTGCATTGATCACTGTCGAAAAACTAGCATATGTGACACGCTTGCTAATGCGACGCGATTGTAGTTCAAGCTTCAGTCCTATTTTTGATAGTATCTAAGAAAATGAAAACAACAAGTAGATAAAGCGGGGAGTTCTGAGAATTTGGAAGGGTAGGGCACAAGACCCTCTGCTTAGAGTGAGCTGGGCCTTTGAAAGCTTCCAAGGTTGAGTCTCGGAACCCAGTAGTAGCTGTTGAGGATTTTGACAATATTAGATTTCCTTCGTAAACAGAACTCCAGGATTTCAGACATCATCGTACAAGAATGGTAACCAAGTATGTTTGCTACAAGAGATTTTGAATGCCATTTGTGTCCGAGACGAAGTTGATTCGAATGTGCATGCGTTCATTTCTAAGATATCTCAAAGTATACTAGATGTTCAAGTCAATTGATACTGAATTGGCTGATGTTGCTCTTTGATTGATCTATTTTTTAAAATCTTTAGTGAGTTGGGTCTAGCATAATTCTGGAGTTAGAATGGTCAAATTTGGTTTAATGCAGCATGCATCACGTTGATGATAGCTGCATGATGTTGTCAAGTGCGGAGAGATACTTTATTTCGTCTGGCAAATCATGGTGAGTGCGAGACATCGACTGTCTTACCGAGTGATTCTGGATGCAAAGTCTTTATTCATGTCGAATGAGTTTCTGTTATGCATGATTTCGAGTTCTTATTCATCCTCGTAACACGAAGAAGAAATCCAGTGATCCAGGGGTGTAGGAAGTTCAAGCTCAAATATGCGCAACAGAAGATCTCGTCATAGAAATCACTTTGCTTAGAATCGGATTCAAGAGACACTAATGCAATCATCTGGAGGTTGATTTGACAGACGGAAAGATTTCAAGGTTCGGATCGAATACGGAATCAGCGATATTGTCGGAATTAGTGAATGTAGACGAGTATAAATTGCTGTTCAAGCGCAGGCTGCCGACTAGGGCATTTGTTTACTATATTGAATTCGGCAGTGAGGATGAAGTTTCTCTGGGAGAGCATGCACTGTAATCAGGCATGGAAATCACAGTGCCGTCTGGATCTAATCGATTTCCTGGAGGTGTATAGGCTGGTACCTCGGATTCTTGTGGACGTGAGCAACACAGACGTGACGTCTAAAAGTGGGACCAAGATCGCCATGCCAATGCTGTTGGCCTCCGTCGCACATCATAAGCTGACGCATCCTGACGATGTTATGCGACACTTCAACGCACCGAGAATCCATTGTTTCAGGTCAATATGGATGCCATCTCACATTAATGCAAAATTACTATATGCAAATTATTCATGATTGACGCTGAATGCTTGTGTACCCACAATCTGGCTAAATCTTTCCGATTCAGGTCACGTCTAAACAGAAATTTTCCAGAAGGGCTGAACAGAGATCCTGATAATACGTAGGAGGCGCCAGTTTTGTTTTTTAGATAGCTGAATCGCAAACTAGTAGCACCTTTGGAAGAGCAGGTTCTGTCTTCCAGTGCTGCTTGCACCATGGAGGAGGTAGCTATGACAGGGCCAAGCGTTAGCTTTTTTGCTTCTTAACGTAAGTTCTAATTTGAAGGATTTGCGACAAGAAATGCATTTGGTGAG